TACAAGGCTGAAATGAGTGTCAACTGAGTCAAAGTGGGACAAAGATTCTTGCTTGCCAGTTTTCTTTTTTATACCACAGCTGCCAGGTAATGTTGTGTTCTTGTTTTGCTTTGCCCTGCTTTCCTGCACTGCAGAATTTGCTTATGTAGACCCAGTAATGTATTTATTCTGTGCTGATCTGCACCCTCCAGGTGTGTGTGTGTGTGTGTTATTTGATGACATTTCCTCATGGGCATTTGTCTACCAGTCTTTCTTCACCCCTCCATGCCCCATTAAATGATGAGGGCAATCTGTGCTGGGAATGAGATGTCATGGAGCAATTCTGGATGTGTGCAGACAGGTGATACCAGAACAAAATGAATCCCAGTACATTTAGCAAAACATACATTCGATGTGGGTGGATGCCAGTGGTGAGATGATCTGTTCAAATCTGCAACAAAGTTAGTAGGACAACCCCAGAAAAACAGGAGACATCACCATTGTGTGGATGAGCCCTATCTAGTTGCTTCCATAGTGCAGTGTGCTTATTCTTTGTCAAGGACAATCAATAAATTCTGATACTTAAAAGTTTCTTGGAAACCTGGAAGGTGAGGCAGGACTTCATTTAGAGGCAGAATCCTATGGCTACCTCTCTAATGGCACCCTTATTGGGTAGATAGATAGAAACTAGCTGCAAATCACCCAGGGAATTTGGTGAATGAGGGAATTTTCAACAAGAATTTCTGCAGCCTTCCTCTGACTCTCTATTAAATTCTGTTGATGTTTTATGTCAGATCTATTGTTTAGAACAATGGTTCTCATTCTTGGGTGTCTGGACATTGTTGGAATTCCCATTGGCATGGCCTCTCTTGTCCCCCCTATAACCCTGTACAGGGCCGGACTGGGACCAAAAATCGGCCCTGGCATTTAGAGCACACAGGCCCACCGGCTGTGGGGAGACAGGCCCCACGCGCGGCCAGGCCCACGGGTAGCTGGGGTTGTGCTCAGGCAGCACCAGTGCCACCGTCACCACCGTCGCCGCGCTGCCGTTCTCGCCCTCTGGCGCTAATTTCTGCAGCCTTCCTCTGACTCTCTATTAAATTCCGTTGATGTTTTATGCCAGATCTATTGTTTAGAACGATGGTTCCCATTCTTGGGTGTCTGGACATTGTTGGACTTCCCACTGGCATGGCCTCTCTTGTCACCCCTATAACCCTGTACATCCATACAAGGCTATGCATTGTGTTAAGCAAAACCAGATGATTTTAAGCACACTGCTGAATTCAGGTAGGGTTCTCTGGGAGCTGCAAAACAGGATGGGGCCCATGTATGTGATTTGCTTACCCCAGGTGTAAGCCTAATCTTTTCTATCCCTTTTACAGCTCATGGAAAACAAGAAGATGTTTCTGTCTCAGCATTCATGTACACAAAGGAAGATATATTAGTAACTCTGGGCTCCTCATCTGTCACATACAAACAGGACACAGCTCGTGAATTAGCATGTTTTCTGGTGAGCCAAATGGATTGCCTCACTTCTTCCAGTCATGACATGATTCTCAGTAGGTTCGGTTTAACAGCTGAAGATTTTCAGTCAGTGGATTGTGATGTTATGCTAGCAATGGTCTATGGAGAGAGACCACCAGCTTGGAACATTACTGGGAATTGTTCAGAAGATGGTAAGAATTTCTCCCTGTTTTACCTGAATTGTGCTGATTTCTTTACCAGATTCTGACTTGTTTGCTTTGTGTAAACAGTAATAAGTTCAAGAACTGGTTTGGGGCAGTCAGTACAGGAGGGGTTGGAAGCTTTTCCTCAGAGCTTGGAACAATTATTTTCTTGAACAGCCATACCCAGAACTTCTGTAGCTAGCATGGTCAGTGGCCATAGAAATTGGAGGATTCTTAGAACTGTAATAATAAAAAAGTAACTCTTTTAATTTCTACTTTAGCACACATCTGAAGGTGTGTGCTAATTTTGAGCTGCCTTCTGTGGGAGCCGGCATTCCTGAAAATTACAGCAATTTCAGGTGTGGTGTAGACTCTTGTAGTGCACGGCCTTGTGTGAAGAACAACAATGATTTTAGCAGCAGAAGCAGGTTTGGGGCGAGCTATAGAAAACTCCAGTGACAACCCCTCCATGTAGTTGGGCCCTCACAGTCTCTCCTTTTGCTGTTCCTCCTGCTCCCTCTTCCTCCTGCCCCAGGGGCTTCTGGAAGACAGGCTGGTTGTTCTTGCTTGAGTTCTGAACTGATTACCTGCAGAGCATCTTTGAAAACAGGGCGGATTGCTGCTGGTTGCCAGCTCTTAAGCTACTATTGTGTTCTCTTGTGAGGACATAGCATTGGAAATGCGCAGCATTTGTGTGCTCTGTTCTTTCTTTTCTTCTTCTTCTTCATCTCCTTCTGGAAGTTGGATGACATCATGACTTTGGCTATACTGACTTTGGAATATTTTGTCTTTGTTTTTTAACAGTCCATTTCTCATTATGTGACCACAATAGCTTTCTGGATGTTGTGTTTCGTGTTTTCTTGGTCTTTATTAATTTGTTTTTGTATGTCTTCATTGGTTATACTCTATTAGTTTAAAATTATACAAGCTGAACATGGAAGAGAAGGAAGCTATCCATCCAGACTATTAAGTTGATAACCTGAAATTAAAGGAGTATGTTGCCTGGATCCCCTCAGGCTCCCTCTGGCAACCGGTTATAAAGAACTTCCCTCTCCTTTTACTGGCTGTACATGTACTCCAAGTTCAAATTGTGTGGTTTTTTTTTCACCTCTAAAAACAAAAACAAAAACTAAGCACATGTTGTGTGCCATAGATTGTAACCACAGGCTATTGGTGTCAGTTAAACAAATGCCTTATAACCATCAAAAGCTGATAAGCAATCATTAGTACTTATTAGCATATAGTCTTTTGCAATAGATCATACAGTCTTTTGCAATATATTATCCTTTCAGCTGGATAACTCCTTCCTTGTAGTTACATGGTACATGTTCTGGCAACTTTTGTGTAAGGATGGCCAATATATATTTACTGAATAACAAAGTTCCTTTCTTTTTAATTTTTTTTAAAGATAGGGTTAGAGAAAGGGGTACAGAAGGTAAGGGGAATGGACAAAAGGGGAGGTAGAAGGAGAACATAAAATATACTCTCAGCAAATCCTAATGTTTGCGTTACAATATCAAATCCACATTTCGCCTTTCTACAGTTTGATTGCTGTTTGTTTGAATAACAAGAGTTGCTTTCCATGCCAGCATAGATTAGCCTTCAGAAATGAAATGGAAGATTTTAAACTGCCAACTTAGTATATTACTGCTACCCTATGAAAACATAAGGAAATTAAGTTGTAACAGGAGCATCACAAAAAACTTATCAATTCTCTTCTGTAATTTGCTTCCTTTTAAAAATCAAAATATGCATACATCGTTGTTTCCTTAATGGATTTAATTTCATTTCTAAACAGTGCTTGTGAACAACTGATGAGATTTGTAGCCTTCAAACAAAATGAAGATGGTGGTAACAAAATGTCTCCCCCTGGATTCCTAGCAAACTAAGTCTTTTTATTCAAAAATTATTATTGTGTAAACAAAAGGAGACATCCATTGTCTTGGAAGGGTCAAAAGAATGCTGTAATACAGGAATTTTGGCCAGCTAACAGCTTATTTACTAAATACTATTCCCAGTGATTATGTACTGGTAGTTTTAACTCTTTTGTCTATGGTTTGTATTGAATCATGTTATGGCAAAGGTTTGGAATATAAATACTTGTCTGCTTCTCCAGGAAGTTCCAGACTGAAGACTCTCTCAATGTGATGGTGTTCAGATGTGTGGAATTATAATTTTCATCTTCTCTGTATTGGGATTTTTAATTTAATATATCTGAAAGGAGACAGGTTGAGGGAGGATGGTAAGCCACACCATTTCTGTAGTGGCATGCTACCAGGAGACCATGCTGGCTTCTGCGGGTTTTAATAAGAAGCATCAGCTGTCATCAAAACAACCCTGTTCTTTCTGGCTTCCTTCATGTACAATAGCTTGCTCTTCGGTAAACTTTCTGCCTATCTCTTTTTTCATTTCTGAATGTGTGGCTTCTACACTTGTATGAGGGCATTATAGACTTACAGATGGTTCTGTGCAGCCAGGGATTTAGTACAGGGATGGGGAATCTGTGGTCTTGGATATTGTTGGATTGTGACCCGTGTCAGCTCAAGCAGCATAGTCAATATTGCAGTGTAAGGGAAATTACAGTTTAAAAGTAGTTAGAGGACCCTACATTCCCTATCCCTGATCTGGTCTAAGGAACTAGGGGCAAGCAGGTACACCAGCCCTGCTCATTTCACCCATCCACAGCAAAGTTATTTTCTCCTGACTTAGTGGCTTGCAGCATTTATAGGTTCGGAATGCCTATATGAGTATTTGTGGAATTGTTATGTAGAGGTTAAAAAAGTGGTTGGAACCTGTTTTGATGGGTCAAGTGTAAAACACTGGAGTTTTCATTGGGACCTTTGCAACCTTGACTGATATCCTTTTTCTGAAGAGATGATAAGTTAAGGTATATCCCTGCATGTCAGGTGCTTTGATAAAGCATTGCTAGAGGAGCAGCAATAACTGTTACATTGTCAGTTAAAAGTGCAAAGGGAACATTGGGCCAGGTAGAGAAATTTGATTTGTATACTTTTGGAGAAAAAGTGCTGTCACCATGCACACTGCATGTGCTTGGATCAAAATATAGGCCTGTGGTTCCTAACTGTGGGTAACCCGGGTGTTCTTGGAGTGCAATTCCCAGAGGTTTTCACCACCAACTGTGCTAACTGGGGTTTCTGGAAGTTGCAGTCCAGGAACACATTGGTTGCCTATGTTTGGGAATTGCTGTAGGCAAATCACCTACAGGGGTTTGCTGTATAACGTTATTGCAGAATGTTATAGTTTTATTCAATGGTCATTCCCTACAGAGACTCAAACAATGCCTTCCTAACTTAAGCAAGTTTTGTTTATCTCTCTTGCATTTGAATCTGACAGTATCCTACATACCATAGGAGAACTGTTTTCCATTTTCTTCTGGAGAACCATTTGATTATAGTGCATGTAGAGGAGATAATTTGTTATTCAGTGTAAGGAATATTCCTATATCGAGTAGATACCAATGGAAGATAAGTGTGCTAAATTCAGAATGAAAGTCATATGATAACAGTAAAGGGTAGAAGGGTAGCACATGGGTGAACAAGCTGTTCTTTAGAAAACATTGCTTACGTAAGTCTTTTGTTCAGTAACCCTGTAATGCTAAATTCAAAGTCTTGTGTTTAGTTAACCTGTAGGGTTTACTAAACACAACTGTTAGTTCCAAATAGTAATGAAGAGAATGTGTTAAGTCAAGATTTATGTAAGTCGAATTGATTCTGTGGATCTATTCTAATAATTGGATTTATTCCACAGAGGCAGAGGCAGAAGCAGACCTGGTTCCCGTACATGCAATCCTTGCATTTGCTCTGAAGACAGTGCTACTCAGTGATTATGAGAATCAGATACAGTATTAGCAATAGATATTCATTATCCATTTCACTTTGGGGATTGAACCCACTGAATTGTTTCTCATTCAGAAAAATGGCCTTCTGACCATGTGGCCTCTATATTTATATGAGAGCACTACTGATGTATGGAAGCTTCTGTACATGTAGCCTTTCATTGTAGAGGTGAACCAGCAAGATGAATCAGGAAGACACCAATACAGGGGGAAGAGGAGACAAAATATCTAGATGCAAGGGTGTAGTCTTTATAAGGATGTTTTTGGACCCGGAAGGAAGTTAGGTTGTGGTGGTTGTTTTACTACAGCTCTCAGAATTCCTCAGCCAATGTGGCCAGTGGCTGAAAAAGTAACTTTCCCAAGCTCTGAATGTTCTTAAAGGATGTGTTTCAAGGAGCCTCGTGGCATAGTGGTTAAACCGCTGTACTGCAGCCAAAACTGTGCTCATGACCTGGGGTTCAATCCCTTCTATCCTTCTGGGCGGTATAAAAGTAGCACACTTTGCTTTTTTGAACAAATCGTAATCTGTATTCTCCAGTGACGGTGTTGCAAAGATGTTCTTTTAAACCAGATGAATATGCCAGCTGACTCTATATTATAATTATCTGGGTGACTAGAATTGCTTGTTAATTAAATATAGGCGTATGCTGTTTCCTCCAGTACTAAATAATGCTTTATAGGATTTTATAATTTTGCAAAATTTGATTTTTTTTTCCTGTGCTGTAATGTATGTTAAAATTAATTATAGGCTGTAACTTAGAATTTGAGCAAGAAATGCAGCTTCCTTTATGACTTTCTATCACAAATCGAATCAACTTCCCGTGTTTATTAATGCATCATCGTGATTTCTTCTTACAACAGGATAATTGTGAATTATTGTCCAATGTGTTTATTGTCCATTTTTGTGGGGCAGTTTTATTTTCTCCATCAAGTCGCCCATTGTACTAGTTTTATTGTTTTAATCTAATAAAAATAACTTCTGAGTTTGAGCTTTCAAATCTACAAGGGCACACCAATATCACTCTGCCTAAAATGTGCACCTGTCCTCACCCTCTGTTGCACTGAATCATAATGTATGAACATGTGTCCTGGGAAAAAGAAAAAGGAGTCTCAGGAACAGTATTGAACTCACATTGTATGACTTTGTGTGAGC